TCACTTGGGGATTACCGCACATCAACATTCCATGTCATTCTGAAAGCTGCATACTGGCACTGAAGATTTCAGTGTTGATCTACTGAAGATTCCCCCCAAAACTGTGAAAGTCATGCTGCATGCACAAACAAGTTGTTGCCTTACTTTCAAAGCTTTTGCCAGAATCTTGACTGCGAGAACAAAGAGAGATCATTTCACGTTTCTCAAGAAAAGCATCTGATATCAGGAATCAATGGTGAAGTATTCAGCTATTTTATCTTTTAAAAATAAATCTCCCACCTTTTAATACATCTGTAAGTATTCAGAAGGACCTGTTTCTGAAGCCACTGTGCATGCAAAAACTTCCAGTGAAGTCAAGTGATCCCATGCATAGAGACTTAAAAGAACAGGTGGAGCGTTTCCTGTTATTACTTGGCTGGATAACAAAAATTTAACTGTGATAATCTCAATCTCTGTTAAGACTGAACAGGTCAGCTCTTGCATGTAAAATCATAAAGATATAAAAATAAGCTATTACATGTTCTCAGTAATAAGAAAAATCAAGAAAACAGACCAATGAGTTCCCTTGTTTTGGCCTCAATCTCTCCCAAAAGAATCTCAGGATTGGCATAGATTTTTTCTTCATCAGCACAATAACTCTCTAAAAATTTCCTATATTCTGGATCTGTGAAGAAAAATTTTTGAATTATGTTAATACTTTACAATGCATGACAGAAATGGAATCTATTTTCCACTGTGACACCAAGAAAATATGTTTACCGTCTTCAATGCTCCCGGCTTTGGCATCTTTCTTCTTCAGCTTCTTTTTTGAAATCTTCTGGAATGGAGCAAATTCAACCACTGCAGGATACTCCAAACCTTAAGAGAGATTAATGCTTAATTTTTTGAGGGGGGAGAAACATTCCTTATATTCAAGTAAGATTTTCAAAACTCTTGAAACTTGTGTGGGGCAGTCTTACTTGGAATCAAAGGTAAATGTTTCTACAATCCCATCCTAAACTTGACATGAAAAATTACATGTAGCAGTAATTTAGATTCAAACCAAAATAAATTTATATTTTAATCATATATATAAACAAACGTTAAATATCTTTTGGACATGCTAACAAAGACTGACAAAATGAAGATGACCACTGTTGCACAACAGAATTCCTGCATCATCATTTATAATTCCCTTTTAATTCTTCACAGATATTCATTGATTAGAAAAAAATACATAACATCTCAGCCTAACCAGTCATAAGTACTACTGGGAAATGAATCTGAAACAATTGGGTTTTGTTGCCAAAAAGCTTACAAAATAAATGCTGGGTAATAGGCTATAATAAAACATACCACCTTCTTTCAGAATCAAAACCGTAAAACTCAGCATATAGAATTGTGTGAAGCTTCTTTTTTCTTTTTATGATGGACTACACAATTTCTTGCCTGTGTTTACTGGCATGGATTCTTTGTTTTGAATTCTGCTTTGAGTACTGGATTCTTCTTTGGACTGGAGTCAGAACTGTGTGTAGCTTTTGAATTTTGCCTGGTTTCCACTTGCAGCAGGTTCAAGATTACACTTTGCTCAAGTTCACTTGGCTTAAATCTGCTAGACCATTTGTTAACCTTATTGAACCTGGTAATCCTTGTTTTAATTTTAGCCTCATAAATGTAATGCTGCCACAAGCCTAACCAGAGGGCACCTTCGATCAAAACTTGTGCTCTTTATATTTGCACAAACAGTCATGCCAAACTGGCCAGCTGTGTCCAAGCTCAGTTTTGCAACACTGAAGAATGTGCTTAATTTAGACAAAGGGAAGTCTTGGCAGAATTGTAATTTCTTTCTAGTTTTTAATTTAAAACACCCATAATTCAAAATCTGAGAATGACACACTGCAAGGAATGTGTTGTTCTCCATCTCTAGGAAAATCCATCTAAATCTGATTAAGTTAGAAGCCTATAAAATACCTCAGGTAGGAAATGCTGAAGAGGAATTTGTTAAGTTTGACAGACAGACTCTTTAGAGACCAACTCTCCAGTAAGAGTGGACAGGACTACTTTTCGCAGGACCTACACAACACTGAGTGTACAGATTAGACAATATCTAGTCAAGAAAAATCTCTATCTGTTTTATACAACCCATGCAATTTTTTACAGAAGGTGTGAGTGAATGAGGCAAAGAACTGCTAAACGGAAAGCACCATTTCTTGACTATGGCAATTTCATGCTACTGTAGGAGACCTGGCTTTATCTACACCTACATTACAGAGCTTTTCTTTACTGTTGGGCAAACTTTTGCAGACTGAACATTTCAAAGATGGCAATTCAATTTTGTCTCTCTTGTTCTTGCAACTCAACTCATGATGTCTGCAAATGCTCTAAAAAGTCAAGCTGTACATATGTCAAAGTGGGCAACCAAAATGATGAAGTAAAGTTTTTGTCTTGCTTTTTCAAAATGGGAATAAGTGGCAGAACTTTATCTCACAGAAACACACTGAAGATGTAATGATTCATGCTTGCAATGTGTTTGGTTACTGTTGTGATGAATTGTGAAGCCTGCATAAGATAATTATCTTAATAGGATCTCGATAGTGTATTGTTTAAGGCACAAGAATGCAGATAAAGCATGCATACCATATAGACAAGCAAGACTGCATGGACAAATACATTTTGCACTTCACTATCTTTTAAGTGCTAGATTTTAAGATATTTTTATGTAATTAACTGTATACTGAGAAAAAGTGGCATAATTAGCATAAAGGAAATAAATTAATGTTCTAAAATGGTATATGCATGCATACACACTTAATATCTTACAAACAGTCCAACCTTTATTATCAATGAAGACATAGCCATCAAAGCGATCTCTAAAAAGAAGGATGTCCTCAGGATTTCTAAAGTTAATGTACGCTCTTGAGTAGAGATGAGGATAAAGGCTGCAACAAGAAACAATTTCATTTTCTGTTATTTACTATTCTGTTCAGGACTAGAAAAAAAAAAGAACTAGAAGGATCACACTGCAGTTCTCTTCTTTGAGAAATGGCTACCTTAAACATGCATCTCAAAGTCTTTACATACACATATCTAATTATACATATGACAAAAAGTAACTGAACACCTGAGTTCCTGGATACAACTGTGAAATTTATTCTGAGACAAGTATTTCTAGTTTGTCTCCCTAAATTGCAGAGCATATACCTACATTGTTCAGCATCAAAGCTTTAAGTCTATATTTCATGATTTAAGAGATATGAATAAACAGCAGTGCTTTTGGGGAACTTCTTGGGCATGCTAAGTCTTCCGTTGCTGAAACAGGAGAAGGTAAGTAAAAGCTCCAACTGAAAGGGCTGTTGCTAAGTTGTCATTGTATTTAAAGAGAGTTCCGCCTTTAAGAAAGATTAAATAAACTAGTAATTGGCAAGATAATCCACTGAATTATATACAAAACAAATAAACTCCATCTGACATACATGTGTATGAATATATATGCAATGTCTAGTTGTGAAGAAGAATTACCGTGAAAATCCAAAGCATTTCTAGCAAAAGAACGAACAGGTACTTACCTAAAATAATTTTGATTCTTCCAGAATTTATTGGCATAAATCCCACTCCAGGGATAAACGTTTAATGTGCCTGACAAAAACCTCAAGGTTGGCACACCACCAACCACAATGAGACTGAGGTAATTCAATGAATTACCACCCATTCATTGTGAGTCATGGCATGTACACGCTTTAAACCCCTGCAACTGTGCTCTAAGTTTGCCTTAAACTGCGTACACGCTTTAAACCCCTGCAACTGTGCTCTAAAACAGTTTGCCTTAAACTGGCTTCAATGATGGCTATGTGTTACACCAGGTTTTGGAACATATCTGAACACAAGCCCGTAACTTTAAAATACCTACGTTCATAATACTGTTGTCACACATGGCTGACAAACTCACCACCAGCAGCAGGAGGCAATAAACACACACAGTTGCAACCATATTTCAATCCAACAGCTATTTCAGAATTGGATTTCACAAGGAGTGAGAAAGAGCAAAAACAGGGGTTGGATCACAAGATCTACACACATGTGGTAGCTCAATGCAACAGTTACTACAAACTAAGTCTTTTTCTTTTTCAAACGTGCATCATTTGATGGATTCCACTTTGGGTGTTAGAAGGTGACCATAAAGAGCAATGCTGTCAAGAACTTACCAATGATTTTGTAAACCCACCAAATTCATGTTCGAAATTGTAGACAGGAGAAATGTTTAAGAAAAAAAATAGAGGGCTTTTTTCATTTAGATGTTTTGCAAGTACCAGCTATGAAGTGTTTCACACAGAGGACAAACCTTTTAATTCTAAGGAAGAGCTACTTCATCCATATATACTCACTATATTTTGGTATTCTAGGATGGTAATAGCATTGAGTGAACTGTAAGCAGGCAACCACAAAAATGCCTGCTAGGGCATGGCTAGGGCTATGCTGCTGACACAAGGTAGTGCTGAAAGGTGCTACAGGCATGGCACGCTCCCTCATCCGCCACAGCCTACAGGTGCCACGCAGCTACGGACCGCTTGAGAGCAACCTCTAGGCAGCTTGACCAAATGAGCATGGTGTCACGTGGCTTGTGTTTTGTCATGGGGTTCTGCAAACCCTACAGAGCCCTCTCTGATCAGATTTGCAAACCTCCAGTCTGCATATGCAACACAAGGTATGTCAAGGGTTGCTGTGTGTGTGCCAGCTTCCTTCTCATCGGTTTCAAGGCAAAAAAAAAAAAAAAGATGGAATGTAACACTTTTCATAATTACATACAGTTAAAAAAATCATTAAAAAAGGCCTACAAGTGTATGTAAAGGAGGAAATTTTATTGTGGCAATCTATAGTTGTGCTGGAAGAAATGTCTTTGTGCTGCCTAACAGCTGGAATAGTGAAGAAGTCTCTTAGATAACTGGTGCCCTCCAGGCCAACATAAACTTCCTTCTCTGTCATGTTAACAGGGCTATTCTCATGTTTCGTGTTCTTTGATGTTTAAATTAAATGAGGCCTCATATTAGAGATTGATATGATTATACACTTGAAGCACTGAAGATTCACAAGACAAAAATAGGCAGCTTGAGGGAACATTATTTTTCAGTCCAGTTACTATTATCCGAGATTGAGAAATTGTGTTTCAGTTCCTAGTCTAAACCACCTTTTCAGTGTTTTATCCATCTTCAGTTTTTGTAAAAATCTAACACTTCCCATAGATGAAAGACTGGGACTCAGACAAGTGTCCCAGCCACTACATTATTGTGGCACTTCTCTGTCTCAGTGCACAGCAAACAGCTTCATCTTATAGTTGGATTTTTTTTTTCTGCAGTAACTTAGAACCTTATGGTTAGGCATATAACCATCATGAAACAGAACTGGAAATACAAAGATATTCCTTCCTTGTTTCCTTTAGCTTGTACATCAACGCCATCTGTTTCATCTGCTTTGGCAACACAACCTTTTCCTGGTACACAATGTAATATTTTTCTAACATTTTCAGCTTAGGCTTATCAGAGTGAGTATCTTTCAAAACAGAGAAACATTTGGTATGGTTATTAAGCATTAGTAAGAAAAAACTGAGTCTGAAATGTATAAACAGGACTCTGGAAAGCAGAGATTTAGAATTCACCTTGCAAATAAGGGATCCAATGTTGTTGCTATACATTATTAGTATCTTCAAGAACTTCACTTGCATCAGCAGAAACATACAAAAATATAAAAACATGCTTGTGCACAGCAGGATATTGATGTGCGCAGTAGCACAGTAAAATAGGATTGTCTGTCCATTATTGTTGCTATGTATCAGGGTGGAAGGTTGTAGAAACACGGTTACAGCAACACTTAGCAACTACGAGTTCCTTCCCTGACGAAGACCCTTCTACAAATAAAGAGCTGGTTCTCAAATGAGAAACATAGGAGCAAGTTAGATGTCAGTGCTTAGTGTATAAAAGCCTGATCTCTGAGTGCTTCAGACCCGTCTCACACTTTTTGCCCAGCAAAGTATGCAGTGTGCCAAAAAGAAGCGTAAAATTCACTCTCTGAATGGGAAGCTAACTAGATGTAGCAAATCAGAAATGCTTAGCACTGGCCTGCATACGAAATTCTGTCTCTTACTCTGGGTTTCAGACACCTGACTTCCAACTGCAGCTCCCACGCCCCCACCCACCCTGGATTCCCTCTTCACCCATCCTCTGAAAACCCACCAGCATGACAGCGCAGCGAAGATTGCACGGGGCTTCACAGGGCTTACAGGGACTCTGTGGCTAACACCCTCTCCTAGGAAGAAACAGCCCTGCTCTACTTTTGCACATTATATTCAGCAGTTCTTGGATAAAGTACAGCTTTTGCTCTTCAGGATTTTGCCTTCCAGCTGAGTCCTACAGAAGGGCCGCTGGACTCTGTGCACCTCCTTTTTTCAAGTATCTACCAGCATAGATTTCATTTGAGATTTTAAATTCAGTTTTGAGGTTGCACTCTAAGTTTTATAGTCAGACAGCTGGTTCTATTTTGCCATATGTTTCCTGTCTATAGTGCTGCTTTCCATCCGTATCATGTTTTGGACAGATGCACTGCACATGATGTTGGCATTTTTGGGACTGCACTTAGAGCAATCTCTATGGAAATAACCCAGATGAGTCTGACTACACACATTGCTTCAGTACAACACACGGTCCCCTTGTTGTCTGCTGTGTGGTCAAGACCACTCGATCTTTTAGGTTACATGTATTCTATAATAGTTAGTCTATCGTCTCTTTAAACCCTTGCTTTTGTAGTAATTTTAATAACACATTCTAATAGTTTACTTCTACAAAGTATCTTTTAACACAATTGTGTAAACAGAAAGGAATTTTACATGGTTATCTACAATATAAACAGCAACATGTAAACTATAAAAACAGCCACCTTAGTAAAAATACCATCACGGTAAGCATATACATATGTATAGTTCTCTAAATCTAAATTTTGGAGTGTTAAATAAATTCCTCCATCCATTCATGTATTATATAATTTCTGATCAAATGGATAACTCATCATCCACATCGTCATGTCAAGCCAAAATCTACCCGCCTTCATCCTCTTGCCTCTCACCTTCTGTGGTCATTCACATAGTGGATGGAACTGGCATCACTTTAAACTAAATTAGCCTTCCCTTTTCACAGATAGAAGTGAGCACAATTTGCCCGGCGGTGGAGAAGCAGAAACACTCTGCAGTTGCGATGACAGACTGTCACTCCTCCCATCAGAACAGAGTAGTGGCAGTTCTCTTGAAGGTCTAAGGGTGCTGCCCCTTTAGAGTTGCAGTTCCTGGGTGCACGCTGCCATCCTACAGCATTAATGCTATTTGCCTACAATAATCTTGAGCAAAATGTTGGGAAGTTATGAAGGGAAAGGAGGCTGTTTGCAAGCAGCTTTATCCCTGACTGTGATATACGGCATGAAGTCAACTATTTGACTGGCTTTCACATAAGCAAAGTTCATGTTCAGATCTTACTTTTAAAACCTCACACTATTAACGAGTCCTAGCACTCAGCCTTCAGTGCCAGTCCCAAGGGATGACCCAAATCCTGCAGGGACAGAGCTCAATCACTTGAGTCAAGTTTTAGAAGACTCAGAAACATTTACATGCAGACAAAAAAAGAGTATCTGGAAAAAATAGTTCACATTTGGAGTCTGAGAACAAGACAGACCCTCAGGAAGGCAGAGTCTTTATTACCAGCTATCGATGCTGTGTCTATCCAACAAACATCCCTAAAGGCCATAGAATCAGTCACAGAAACAGTGTTTTGTTTGCATTTTGATGTCAACGTACAAGGGAGAATAAATGTAATGCAGTGAATCAGATGAATCTGAAAAAATGAACGAAACACAATGCAAGTCACTTTCTTAAATGATTTTACTGAAATGGATGTAACTGAAAGCGTTATACATTAATGACATTACTTAATCAAATGAAATTTTCAGAAGTTTTATAACTTGTCTATGGTAAGACACTATAAACTTAAAGATAACCTTCGGACTGCAAAAACAGAGAAACTGGACTTGATATGCGTATCTTGTTTGTTTTGTCCTCTAGGCTGAGATGACCTTGGAAATAAAAATCTTGAAACAGCTATACTTAGACCTCTCTAGTCCTCTTTCCAACAGCAACTAGTAGAGGATGCTTTGAGGAAGTTTATTAAAAAGGGGAAATGATACATTAACACTTCACCTAGAATATCATTTCAGCTACTTGCAGCCTAGGGACTTTGTAATACAGAACTTGTATCCTTGTGTTTAATATTCTGACATGGAGTTCTATAGTTTAACGGTGGTGTGTGAAAAAAAGTCTGCACTCCACAGAAAACCTAATGAGCTCTTAGAAACTTCTGTTATCTCAAGTTACACAGGGTGCAGTTAAACTGCAATGTTACAGCTCTTAAGGTAAACTTGTCTGCTGCTGCATCGTAACATTTGTATGCCCTGTTCTCTTCCCAACAAACAGATCCTCTTCACTGAAGAGCTTCTCCAAATCATTCTGTTAGATGATATGCAATTTGCTTTTAATCTTCCCATGTTTTCATCATCACTTGAATTCTCTTGACTGGTTGCCACTACACATGCAGTACAGGATCTAGAAAAAAGCTGATCAGTGAAAGACAGAGGGCACTGTAGAGAGAATGTGCCCACCTTGCCCTGTAGCTCTTCCTGTTAGCTGGAATGGCATGAAGAGACAGCCACAGAGAGTTTTCTGAAGTTTTGTGAACTGTCCATAACATGACAGATTACTGTGACACAATGCTTTATACTCAGGAAAGAGTTCTCCGCTGGGTAAGAGGAGACTAAGACTCACTGTATTAATCTTGTCTCTAACTTAGAACTTCTGAAAGTTTACTGTATATTCTAGAGTGTGTAAACATGTAAAGAGTTAAATCATAAACAGATTCACAAACAGATGTACATGGGTATGTGTCAGCATTTGGGCAAGGTGATCCTGGGCCAGTCAAAGAACAAATAATCAGGCAAGCTAACACACTGCAGAACTACAGCTAAATGCCCATTTAAACTGCATAGTTTGCTGAAAGAAGTTGAGCCATACAAACCTTGTGAAGATGAACCCATTCAGAAAAAATACATCTTTTGTATGAAAGCTTACGTTTTAAGAAGCAAGATGAAGCAAAAAAAAAGTGGATAGGAAACAGTTCATGCTGAAAAATTCAAACTTGTATGAAAACACTTTTTTCTACAGTTTAAATTGTGAAGGCAGAAGAGAACATGAATCCAAAACTCAGGAGGAAGAGAACATTTTTCTCCCAGATCATTATTTTATTGCAGGGCTCATACACAGGACTCAAAGAAACTGACAATCCAAGTAACATATATCAGAGATTTCATTGTTCCAAAGAGTTTAAAAATGTGTATTCTTTGCTTGCTGCATCTTGAAGTCCAGTAGCAGAACAACAGAAGAAATAGAGCTTTATTTTCTTCAGACTTTTTTTAATTTTTAATCACCAAGATCTGCTCTTCAAGGCAAATGAATTTTTGAAGTGTTTTAAGCATGACCTCATCCTTCTACCAGAATGAACTACCGTGTCATATATGCGATCTAACAAACTTTTTTGTATATACGTATGTTCTGTCCCTAGCTATATGGAAGTACATGACAAATAACATGGCATGAGAAAAAAAACACAGTATCTTTTATCAGTAACCTGACATGGATGCAGCTAAACGAGTGGACAGCAAGATTTTTGAGTACTCCAAATTTCATCACATAGAAGTAGAGAGAAAATGAAACTCTATGTACAACTGCTGTCAGTGCCTTCTCTTTTCTAAGATGGCTGACTCCATAAATTCTTATGCCAACAATTGTTCTGGAGAATTAAAATTGTAATTTTTTAACTGTTTCCTTGCATTTGTGCAGCTAAACACACTGAGGACAGAGACACTCTTCTCCTCAGTGAATTTATTGTTTGCCTTTGACCCTTATCAAACGAACAGCTGGGACAGAAGCCTTGAAGAGACCCATTTGGGAGTATGGATGATGAGGTTCAAAGGAGACATGGAAGTAACTACAAAGACTTTCCATCAGACTAAATACTCCTCTTTCCTAACTTCACATCCTTTGTGGTTTTACCAGAAAAGCTGAAGCACCTACTATTTTGTCGCTGCACATATGTGTCAGCATGTCACCTAGGTCAGGCAACTGCCATAAATTTTCCTAAATAGACATTCGTTCCTTTCTGATTGTGGAATTGACTCTGCAAGAACCTATAAAGTCAAAGTTAACTGCCTGGTAACACAGTGGTGGCAAGAAGTGGCAGCATCCTTTCAAATAGAACCAGCCCAGGAACTAGACTGTTGAAAGTGCAATTTCTCACAAGCAAGTCCCCACAAAAGGAAGGCTATCTGCTCTGGGTGGGGTCATCCCTAACTTTAAAAGTTGGTCAGCAATAAGCATAGATGATCCCTCTATGGTCAATGGAAAGAACTGGTGCCTGTGGAGGGTGATTCATTGCACACTAAGATAGGCTTAGACAGGCAAGATGGATCTTATACTTTAGGTTTTCAGAACACATGCAGATGTAGCATACAGGGTATTTTGTTTATTTTAGTGGTTAAGTTCCTTCTCTTCTGGAAATTGTTTTGTTTGAAAGGGAATCTTATTTTACCACTCTGATACCGAGTAAATTATATAAATATACTAGCAATTCTGATTGATTTTCAATAAACCACTTTGTCTTTTCTTTTAAGTCTGCATGAGACAAAAATGAATAGAACTGGATTATTTGAAAAAACTGTATGAAATAAACACAAAAACATGTAAGCAAACAAAGGAACTAAGTTCTGATGAAAAGACTTCTGTGATATTTGCCCTAGGTTGACTTTCTCACAGCTGATAAAACTGCCTGTTGCATTTTACCAATGAAGGTTAAAAGAAACATCAGGGTTTCAAACAAAATTATGCCCTATTCATATACAAAAATTTTTTGCCTCTGCATATGTATCCACCTTTTCACAAATATTTTAAGTAACCAAAACTAACAAAAAAGTATGTGATTTGGTATGTGCAAAATACCTTAATTAGTTTTTAGCACCTGAAAACCTACACAAACAGCTCATCCTCACCTGGGATCAGCAGTGCAAAACTCAAAATAGTCATGGGCAGGTAGAGGATGTAGCTGTTCCTCCAGTTGCTCCTTAGTTAGACAAGGAGGAAGCCGTCGAATAACTACCTGCATATATAAAAGAAAATGGAGATTTATCTTTGATCTAAATACTGTAGAAAGAGACTAAACAAATCATATTACTCCTTTAAAAGTTCTTCCTCAAATTGGGAACATCAGTTGGAGCATCAGCCTCCTAATGATTTACCTTCTTGGACATGCTGACAGATGGAACCATTTTTCTATCTCAGTTTCTGCTATTATTGTAAAATTGTAAGACAACTGAAATATTCTGATGAAGAGCTTGAGAACCACTACAATGTAGCCAAGAATAAAAGATATTAACAAGAACAACAACAAAAAATATTGACTCACAAAATTTTTTAAAGCATCTCTTCAAAAAATTATTTAAACTAACTTTTAAGTCTTTTATTACAACAGTATCTTGGTGCATTAGGTTTATGCGTCCAAATGCTGGCTGCAGGGGGCTGCAGAGGCTGCCTCAGTGAGAAGAGGCCGGGGCTGCCCTGTGCCAGACACAGTCCATTCCAGCTCGTTCCAACCGCCCCACCACAGGGCATGGCTGAGCCCTGCAGCCACCATGGTGGAACCTCGAGTGAAACTTATTTAAGAAAGGACAGAAAAGGCTGCACAGCAGTGTGAGACAGAGGAGTGAGGGGAAAAAAGTGCAAGAAACAGCCCTGCAGACACCCAGGTGAGAGGAGGGGGAGGAGGTGCTCCAGGTGCTGGAGCAGAGATTCTCCTGTAGCTCCTGATGAAGACCATGGTGAGGCAGGCTGTCCCCCTGGAGCCCATGGAGGACCACGGTGGAGCAGATTTTCGCACTGCAGCCCCTGGGGGACACCATGCCACAGCAGGTGGAGGTGCCCAGAAGGGAGCTGCAGCCCATGGAGAGCCCATGCAGGAGCAGGTTTTCTGGCAGGACCTGCAGCCTGTGGAGAGGAGCCCGTGCTGGAGCAGGTTTATCCTGAAGGACTGCAACCCACGGAGAAGACCCACACTGCAGCAGTTCACAAACAACTGCAGCATGTGGGAGGGACCCCTGCTGGAGCAGTTCATGAAGGACTGTACCTCACGGCAGGCACCCCACACCGCAGCAGGGGGAAAGTGTGAGGAGAAAGGAGCAGCAGCGAGGAGCAGTTATGTCCTGTCCACAACCCCCATTCCCCATCCTCTGGCTCTGCTTGGGGGCAGGGGAGGTAGAGCCTGGGAAGGAAGGTGGGAAGGTGTTTTAGCTTTAATCTCTGCTTCTCACCATTCTACTCTTAATTTTTTGTAATTAGCAATAGAGTAATTTTCTCCAAGTTGCATCTGTTTTGTCTGTGATGGCAATGTGTAAGTGTTCTCCCTGCCTATCTTGACCTACAAGTTTTTTATCTTATATTCTCCCTGCTGGGGGAGGAGTGAGAGAGCAGCTGGCTGGGGGTCTGGCAACCACCCAAAGTCGACTCACCATGCTCAGGTAAACTGGACAATAGTAACGGCTGGGACACCATATGGAAACCTCTGAAACAGAATGATGCCAGCACACAAAACGGTAAAATGGCCATCAAGCTTCACACAGCCTATTTCCATCTCTTGACAATATCTGAGTTTAAATGGATGTAACTTCCAGCTACAGCGATTTTCAGCGCTTCCGTTTCCCAGTTTAGGGAATGGGAATAAATCGAATTTCACAGTACCCTACATAAGTACTCCTTGAAAAGTGCTCGAATAAAGCCAGGGAGAGAGAAGCGCTCTTGTCCTTGCGGGCGCTGCTCTGCCACGGCAATAGCCAATCTTGACTTCTGAAGAACGAAAAGTGAAAGGGCACGCAAATTCGCAGCGCTGCTGCTGGGGATCTCAAAACACTGAAGTGAATCGACACCCTCCCTCCGCAGCCCAAGAGCCTTCCGTTTAAACGCCAGAGCCTCCCGGCGCTAGACTCGGTCTGCTGCGCGGGGCCTACCGGCGCCATGCTCCCCGCTGCAACCTTCCTCCCGCCCTCAGGCATCCCCCACCAGGGACGCTCCTCGCCGCGCCCCCCCGGGTCCCTCCCCTCCCC